ACGGGCACGGGCACGGGCACCTCTGAACCCTCTGCTTCCAGTTGGAGGCAGCGTGCCCAGAGCAGCACGGTGGGCATTGCTGCCTGGCACACTACATTTGCAGTGTTAACTTGCCCTTTTCCCATACATGAATGGGGCCAGTCCCCTGCAGGATCCTACCCACTATCACTGGGCTCCCAGGGCAGGGTTGGAAAGGCAAGTCCTCAATAACAAGCTATGGGAATTAAGCAGGGACGAGACTCCTGCTCCGACTTGGTCCTCTCATTTCCAAGGAGCCGTGCTGTCCCAACGGCTTGAGCACAGGTACGAGGGCTCTTACCTTGGTAGGAATGACCAGCGGCAGAGGAAGAAGCACTATAGGTGTCAGCAGTACGATCAGGTAATTCCTGTACGCCAGGATCGTTCTCCCCAGGGTTGCCATGGCGCCAGTTCACGCCCCGTGCTGAAAGGGACACAGGTCTGCTCCTGGGGTTTATATAAGGGCTGTGAAGCAATCACCATTGACCCTAGCAGGTGGGGTGTTGTTTTTGGAGCCGCAATCAATGTGAAAGGAGAGAACAAGGAAGAACAGACCAGGAACTTTCTGAAGACAATCCTTCGGATGCTTGGTTAATGCAGCAGAGGAGTTAACTCCTTGTGTGCAAACAGCCCCACTTCGCTGCGCAAGAAGAGGGGCCACAGGCCCACTCCAGTGTCCTGCAGCAAGACATTTTGTGCTAATTCTTTTGCTGGCAACTGAAGTACAGCAAAAGGCTGGTAAAAGGGGCATGCTGCGTAGGAAAACGTCTTGCCTTGGAAGGGAGATGGAATAGCCCTGGGGAAGGGAAAACTCTTCCTCTGCGCTCAGCCCAGTGTTTTGTTCTTAAAATGCTTAGAAGGATTACAGACCGTGGCTGTGTGTTGTGCTCCATGTGGAGGTTGGGAGAGGATGTAAACATGATGCTCTTTCTCTGAAAGTTTAAGGCAGGTGCAATCAGCAGGGCTCTGGTGACAGACAAAATCACTGGGGCCAAACTCAGGTCACCAGAAACCCCTCCCTCCCTCTCCAGGGATGGTATCTCAGCCTAGAGCCTGGCAGCAGAAGCAGCGAGGTGCCTAAGGCCTCCTACACAGCAGTGCTGTGCACTTCCCCACCAAACCTTGGGGCCCCTACGTGGCAGTGCTGCAGCCTTCCCAGAGTGGCAACTGCCTGCAAGGTTGGGGGCTAGAGGTCATCACCTTCCCACTCCCTCTCCCCTGGTGCCTGATCAACCCAGGAAGGGTTTGGCCATGGTGCAATGAGCTGCCCTCAGGGGTCCTGCTTTGCATCTCTGCTGCCACAGACCTCTGAGTGCAGCCTCGGCACCTTGAAGGACTGAACAGGCATTAGCCACTAGGCAGGGCTGTCAGGACATCGAGAGCGCCAGGCTTTCGAGAGGCTTCCAAGATGCAAGCCGAGAATGACCCGAGCCCTTTCAGTTCAGTCACCAGGAGGGAACGTTTCATGACCATAGCACGGGACAATGACGCGGTGACAGCCACGGTGCAGGAAGATGTCATACCATGCTAAACTGGAGCAGCTTGTACAGGAACAAGAGCAAATGGCACCAGAGACCCAGGCAGGGATGAATGCAATAGATGCCGTCGACCTGCCGGGCCTTCATGCGCTCGCATGCTTCCAGCCTTCAGCGCTTCCTAAACCAGGCCTGCATGGGTCCTTGTTATAAATTCACGAAGGTTGGGGACATGCGAGCAGTTCAACTTCTGAGTCATACAGATATCTGCTAATTGTTGGTAGGTTTTGCAAACATACATTTCCTCAGGCAATAAGGACAGTGTCTTGTTGCCAGCCTGGGCCATTTGCAAGGGGCTTAGGCCAAGCTGCAGAAGTGTGGCTAAGCAGAAGGCCCCAGAGCCCGTTTCGGAGTGATTGTAGCGTGAACCGTTGCAGAAGTGACAAGTAGCTTGGTTAGCAAAGTGAAGGAAGCCATCTCGGCATCTAACTGAACACAGTTAAACAAAGCACAAGGCCTGAAAGGAGACATTGTAAGGGAATGCAATACATTAAATAATCCAGATACACTGTATCATAGCTTTAGTTTAAACTGTTAATAGTGTTGATTGATGTAAGCAAATGTGTCAGGTGTTATTTTGCTTTAAGAAATATAGTTTTGTTAATCTGTAAAAACAAAAGCAGCCTCGTCAGAAACCCCCACAAACTGAGGTAAAGGAGAACCAGGCCAGCGTTAAACGCATTCCACAACCGGGAAGGAAGAGAGAGAAGAAACCCTCCGTTACTTCCCCACGACATGCATCCCAACTCAGTGACAGTGTCCACGTCCACAAGAGATCTGTCTGGTTCAGTCCAGTTCCAGAAGTTTCACTGAAACAAACTGAAACAAAACCAATCCGAGATCAAGTATTAAATATCAGAACCAGCCATCGATACATATGCTGGGCATCGGCTGGAGGGAAATTTAGAAAACTCAGCAAATTCAAGAAAGCCTGCTGCCAGTCTGTGCGCCAGCCTCCTCCCCGCTCCCCCCAGCTGGTACGGGTGAGTCATGCTGTCCCAGGGAGCCACATAGACTTCGGGATAAATGTTTGTTTTTACCTTTTAATGTGCATGCAAATAAAAGGTTGGGTTGTAAACCTGTTTGTCTCTTTTATCACTAGCCTACCCACAAGGTTACCTGCAATCTGGGTAGCCCAGCCTAGCTGAACGTGTAGCGGCACAGGTGTGCACCAGCAGAAACTTTGACCCAGCTTCTGTTCAACTAACATTACATCCCGGCAGGTTCAGGTCTGAAATCTGGATCTGGGCACAACCTTCACTGCAAGCTGGACCTGAGGCAGAAGTTCAGGATTGGGCCCAGGATCACGGGCTGTGGCTATGTTTTTGCACAGACAGTGCTCCAGAAATACTGGAAGGAAAGTGGTTCTGGTGACGACAGCGTGATTTTTGCTAAGGGAGCACAGGCAGAAAGGAAGACAGTGTCACACTCTGGGAGCTTTGAGGGGGCTCCATTAGTGAGACTGAGGATAAAGTAACAAAAAGGTGCCCAGGATCTGGACCATAAGCAATGAAGTGCCCCCACGTGAGGCTGTCTCAACCACCCACAACCTTTTTCTCTGAGAGCTGGTCTGCACTGCAGCCCAGGTCCTGTAGTGAAACGGTGGGATTAGGAGCCAGGGGAACAAATCCCTGAGCTCCGCAGGAGGAAGGTGTTAAATAATTGCAAAATGTTGTTACCTTGGACAGCTGTGCTCTCACAAGGCCAAGGTGAGAGCACTCTGGCAGGAATCAGCAGGTGACCTGTTCCTGCTCTGAGTTACAATTACTGGGAACAGGGGTCCCCAAAGTAATGGATTGCATTTCCCAAGCTTGAATTTCTCAGGAAACACGGTGGTGGTTTGTATAATATTGACAAAAGCTGCTTCACTTGCATTAAAAATTAATCTAATTGGGCTGGGCACTGGGAAGGGGGGTCAAGGACTGGGCAGAATTGATTTCAGTTCAGCTTGGGTCCCTCCACAGTAATAACCATAAATAAGGTGTGTGGCAGAAAGCCACCTTGGTTTCTCCCCCAAAA